AAATAGAATTAATAATAAATTAAATTAATTAATATAAATTACTTATTCGCCCGATTTAGTAGTGATCGGCGATTACCGCGCCACGTGCTGCGGCTGCGCCATATGCTGCGCCACGTCTACTGTGCCACACGAATAAGCTAATTGGTTACAATATAAAAAAATTTGAATTTAACTTACTAATTAATTCAAATAAAAATTTATTATTATAATTCAAATTATTATTATTTTTAATTATTAAATTATATTTATATATAATAATTAATATATAAAAATACTAAAAAAAATGTTATTAAATCTTTTTTTTTAGAAAAATTTATTAATTTAAGATAAAAAAATTATAATATAATTTTTTTATAATATTTTTGATAATTAAAAATTAAGTTTTATATTTTTTATTAACATAATAAAATAATAACTTGAAAATAAAAATTTTAAAATATATAATATTATTAATATTATATTTTACTAATAATTATGATTATATAATTTTTATTTACTTATATATTATTAATTAATTATAATAAATTATAATTTATTAGAATTATTATAATAATAAAAAAAAGTTAAGATATTATTATTTTTACTTGTAAAATTAATTTATTAATATTTAAATTCTTATTTTAATTTATATTATTATTTATTAATTTATTAAAAATAAGATATTTATAATAATATTTTAAAAATTTTCTTATTTTTAATATATTTTCTTTTAAAATTTTAATTTAAAATAAATTTTAAAATATTTTTATTTTAATTAAAAATTTTTTAAACTAAAAAAAATTAGAAATTAAGATTTTTATAATTTAATAAAGAAATATTATAAATTTAATTTTTATTTATACAGTGATGACCAAAAGTAATAACTCAGAGATTAAATTTATTAATAAAATATAGTGAAAATTGAAATTTTTTCTCTATATAAAAATTTATAATTTTAATAAGAAATAATTTTTATTTTTATATTAAAATAAAGTTTATCAGTTACAGTTTAATATATATTTTTTTCAGATTTTTTAGATTTTTTCTGAAAAAGTTGCTCTAATTGTAAAGTTAATACAAAAATTTTTATTAATTAAAAATGAAATTTAATTAATAAAAATTTTACACTAACTTTACAATTAGAGCAACTCTTTCAGAAAAAATCTAAAAAATCTGAAAAAAATATATATTAAACTGCAACTGATAAACTTTATTTTAATGTAAAAATAAAAATTATTTCTTATTAAAATTATAAATTTTTATATAGAGAAAATTTCAATTTTCACTATGTTTTATTAGTAAATTTAGCCCCTAAGTCATTACTTTTGGTTGCCACTATATAGTAATAATTTTATAAATATAAAATTATCATTAAAAAATCTTTAAAAAAATCTTTATAAGAGTGAAAGATTTATATAAAAATTAAGTAATTAGTATTTTAATTATTAAATAAATAATATTTTAAATTTTTATATAAGAATATATTTAATTAATATATTATTTTAATGCTTAAAATTTCTAAATTTTTTTAAAGAATTAAAAAAAATTAATTATTTATTTATTTATCTTAATATAATTAAATAATTTTAATAAATTAATTTTAGAATAAATTTCAAAATAAAAATTTATTTTGATATATTAATATTTTAAGAATGAATAAGAAAATTTTTATTAATAAATCATAATAAATTTTTATTTTGAATTTAATATTAATTTATTAAATTATTTAATTATAATAATAATTAAAGATAATATATTAATAAGTTAAAATTTATTAATAAAATTTTATTTATATTAAACTTTATTTTTTTTCAAATTTAAAAGAATTATTCTAATTGCAAAGTTATTGCAAAATTTTTTCTAATTAAATTTTATTTATTTTAATTAGAAAAAAATTTTATAATAACTTTACAATTAAAAAATATATATTAAATTATAAATATGAACTTTATTTAATATAAAATAAAAATATTTATTAGTAAAATTATAAAATTTTAATATAAAGAAAATTTTGCATTACTTTTGATTATTGTTATATTGATTAATTATTAAAATTCTCAAGCTTATTAATAATTATAATTATATTCATGTTAGAATATTTGAAATAAAAAATAAAAGAAATTTATTTCTTTTTGTATTATATTATAAAGAAAATTGTATTTTATATTAACACTTTATAGATTATCTGTACTGTATTTATAAAAATAATATTTAAGAATTACTTTTAATTTTTAAAATTACAAGTTTATTTTTTCCAAGTAACTTCTTTCTAAAATTAATTTGACAAAATATAAAAGTCTAATTTAACTTTTATTAGAAGTAATTATTTATCAATTTTCAGGCAGAAAAAAAATAACGTGATTATTAAATGTTCTTTGATCTTTGTGGCTAGTGGGTCTGGGATTAGCCACAAGATAAACTTAGGGGACGCAACCTTTAACTCTTCCACCTTACATTTGCTTGACTCCGCATTTAAACCTTTGTTGATCAAGGACTTCAACATGTATAGCAACGAGCATACAGAACAGCGTCGTGTCAGATCAGTAGTTTCAAGCGTTGGAGGACGCACTGCACAAAGGTTTAAATCTGTCATTTATGTTCTGGGTTATTAAATACTTCGGTTTCTTTAGTTCTAATTTTATATGCTTCGAATTTTGCTTTATCATTAAGGAGATCGGGTGCTATTAACACTAACTCACGCTTGTTCATGACTGCTGTAAAAGACGCTAGCAGAAGTGCACGTAACGAAGCGAATGGGGAAAGACCAGGTGAGTTTCTTCAGAATTCACTTTACCTATATTAATGTTATATTTTTGGAGTATCACTAAAACATTTCATCAATTAATTGCAACTAAAGACGAATATCTGTCAAAAGCCCAACTTGCAAAACGCCCATATAGTCCAACAAGCGATTTTCGAATAGATGATGATCGCTTTCAAAACAAAACACGGAAAATTGAAAATGATTCTGGTGCTGAGCAGTTCCGCTCTTTTGAAAGTAATGACTATAACATGCAAACAGAAAATAAGCCAAGAAATTATCGGCATTCTTCTGAGCAAACTCATGATCGAGTAAGCCCTCCTCGTAATAGCGGGGGCAATCACATAAATAGATATTCTCCAGAACGGCAGATAGATCGAGTAAATGTTGTTCGTATGTCTCCAGACCTCCCACCACCAGATCTTATGTATGACACACCGCCAAGAAATGAGCGAGGTAGATTTGGTAGGCTTTACCTCAGTATAAATAAAAATAAGGATATATAATAAAAATTTTTCTCTAATTTATTATGTTTAATTATTTATAATTAGTCAATGAGCGGCGTCCTTCAGAACCACAGTATTTTCCTTCACCTCAATTTGGCTTTGAGCACCCACGGCCTCTTGCACAACCGCGTAGCGTATTAGACCGTTTGGGAAAGAAAGGAGGGATGACTACTGCTTATATTAATCCTGCATTTTTTCATAATCCTCCGGCTCCAATTCCAGATATTGATATGATGTCCCCGCAAAATACTACGGATAGCATTGTTCTTGGGCCTAAAATATCGCGTTGTCGTCATTGGCCTAACTGTGATTTAGGGCCAGCATGCAAATTCCATCATCCAACTGAAATTTGCAGGTAAATTTTTTTTTGCGAGCTATAATACCTCTATCTTGTATTAGTAAGCGTGGTTTAATTTATATCTATTTTACTTGCAGGCAATTTCCCAATTGTCCGAATTCCGATAGAACATGCTTATATATTCATCCAGCTACTGATGTATTCGACTCATATCCAAGAAATCCATTTGGAGCAAATTCAATCACACAAACCTCACGACAACAAACAATGCGGAGAAATATAGCGCCTACACAATCTGCAGGATTCGTTTCTTCAGAAAAAAACTCGAATATACTGAATGAAAATCCAACAAAACAAAATGGCACCACTAACGGGGAACCAAGTACAATGGAAAAACCAGTTACAGAAACCATATCGAAAGCAACTTCGGCAACAGCAACAACGACATCGAACACAACTTCAACCACGACAGCCGCCGCTGCAATAAGCACTACCACATCAGCTACGACAGCCGCCCCTGCTATTTTATGCAAGTTTGGTGAAGCTTGCGCGAAACCGATTTGTATGTTTGCTCATGCCAGTCCTGCATCTATTGGAACTGGAACTGCCCCGTCCGTGCTAATCGAAACACCATGCAAATATGACACAGAGTGCACAAACGTATGTTTATTATTAACAATATAGTATTTTATTTAACCGATTTCAAGTATTTAATCTCATAATATTTCTACAGCCAAAATGTAAATTTGCGCATTCAAGTCCAGCTGCTGGTATGTTTACATCTTAATTAACTTTAATTAGGCATATTGATGAAATTTTTATCTATACGTATTAAATGCTTTTTTTTGGTTAATTTAGCGATAGCAACTCAAGAGCCTTGCAGATACTATCCCAATTGTCAGAATCAAAATTGCCCGTACCTTCATACCGATTATGGGTAAGTAAAACAAATTTTGCTTAATATTAATGATAATAAAAAATATAATGCCAATAATTTGTTCGTATTTTTTAGAGACGAATCAAAAGTTCCAACTCCTTGCTGGAAAGGTGCTGCTTGTACTCGTCCAGATTGTTATTTCTTGCACCCGTGGGATATGGATACCTCTAACATAACAGTATTTATCCCATTATTCATTCTACGTATTAGATGATCAATTATGCATAAGTATGATAAGAAAGTTAATATATTTATTTTTATCTATAGTGCAAATTCGGCGTGCTATGCCGAAGACCTGATTGCAAATTCCAACATCCTAATGGCAAATCTAAAAGCGAGTTTGGAAGCGTTATTTCCGAGCATTCATTTACTGTTGATGAAGATGATGTAGAAGATGCTGCTGAGGAAACAGGAACAGTAGATGATAAAGAAAACACATCTGAGATCAAAGAAGCGAAAGCAACAAAGGAAGAAAAGAATGATAAGACCGAGAATGAAGTGCCGACGCAAAATGAGCTAGCAGGAGAAAAAGGGACGGAGAATGGCCAAACAACCAAAAATAATGAGGTAGAGAAAAAAGCTGAAACTGAAAAAAATGGTAGACGCGATGATGAGTTTCTGTGGGAAGATCTAAGTGATATTATTATCAATGATGCTGATCATTTGGGTGATATTCCAGATTACATGATTGATCTCTAAAAATGAATATTGGAAGGATATTTATACGAACATATGTATGTCAGCTAAAACTTGTGTTTATATGATTTGATAATTTTCTTATAAATATTTAGTTTTAAAATAATTCTTGTTTTGTACTTAAAAAAAACAAAATTAATTATAAATGAAATTTTTGTTAGTTATACAATTAATGTTAATGTAATAAAGTGTTAAATTTTCAAAAAAAAATAATTCATGTTATTTATATTTATTTGACTATTAGTTTTAACAACATAATTCACATTTATTGACAAAAATCTTTAACAATTAGCAACATCGTCTTATTTAAATGGTAATCAATTTCTCTAACCTAAAACTTTCAGAAGCATTAATTAAAGAATCTAATTCCATTTCGACGTACGTTTATTCAAATCAGAAATGTTTAATATGTAAAAAAAATTCTAGTGTAAATGGTTTTATACTCAAACTAATAAGGATTTTGTAGCACATGACGGTTAACAAAATCCTAATCATCGGATATCTTATCTTGATCACTATATCTTATCCACGTAATCATAATAGGCAAACTAAGAACTTTAAGGGAAAAAATTCATACGTATACACACAAGAATCTCCTTTTTTTCATATTTCACAATCGATTCGATTAGATAAAAAACAGAAATAATTACCTACCTCCCGTTTATCAATATCTACTACCATTTACTTAAATGATTAGAAACTACCCGACGCGACTGTGACTCCGGATACTTCTCAGAGTCCTTGATAGCGTTTATAATTCTGATGGTATTTTTTATAGTATCAGCTTTTATCCAAATACGACCATTCAGGCCAATTGCTGTTTCGAAAGTGAAATTCTCGGCCAAGTGTTTTAGAATTGGGGTTTCTGTTTCGAGTAGTCTATAAAATATGAATGGTTATATATAGTTTTCAAATGAAATCAAGTAAATCACAAAGTTTGTTACATGAAACCGTGATTGTCGGGTGTTCTTGAATAGAAATTTTTTATATAATCTCCACATAAATTGGTTTTATTCAAGGGTGTGATTATATTGAGGTTTTCATAAGATATGCTTTTATTGTGAGAAATGCATTGTCAACAAACCTTCGTGCTAGCCCTAAAGAGCATTTAACCAATTGACCGTCCTTCAATTCTCCAAACCCCCCTGCTCTTCCATTTGCGGGATTCACGCATTCCAATTCAGGTTCCATATCTTTATTAGCTAGTGAGACACGACAGTATAATAATGTGCCTACCTAAACGGCATAATATTAATAATTAAAACAACTGTAGATCGTTACTAAAAAGAATTCTTACATCATGATTTGGTCGATATCTTTTCGTCGCATTCTCAAAAGCATAATGAGACAAAGTAGCCGAATGTGCTGCACCGATATCCACACGAAAAAATTCCCCACTTTTTTGTGTTATCACACCAATGACGGGATCGCCTGTAGCTGGAACATACTACATTGTAATTAGAAAGGATGAGAAGGCATTCAACTTAGAATTTCGAAAAATTTTAGATAATAGTTTACCCTTCGTTGATTACTCTCAATCCAATATTTATTGCCTGCAAGCTGATGCTTTAGTACACCACCTTTCACTGCTATTATCTGGTCTTCGTCTTGGATGAGACCAGGACCTAGTTTAAGTTTATTCTCGTAGACTGGTAATGAGTCCCCGGGAAGAACTACTTGTGGACGATGTTGTTGCATCGTTCTTTAAGATAGGAAATTTACTGATCACTATTTATATGTAATGTCAATCAACCAATCAATGATCGAGCTGCAATTATACTTATAAATTTAAGTATTTCAATGAATAATTCCCCTTTTAAAAAATCAACGTTAAAATGTGGCAAAGTTCATTATCCAAAAGATTAAAAGAATTACGTGTGCATTACTGCCAGACGTCGCCGGCTAGTTTTGGCGTTAGGTAGTTGTTTTCTATTTCATTATACTTGGAAGAATCAATAGAAATATTATTTGACAATTTTTTAAAGGTAAGATTATCTCAAAGTCAACTTTGCAAGAATTATTTCTATCAAGTTTACATTTTCGCTGTACATAGAAATTGATATTTTAACTTTATGCATATAATTTGCTTCGTTATTCTCAATTTCACAGGGAAAAACCTAAATTTTACAAAATATGAATATATGAAAAAAAAGTTTTTTTGACCTATTTTTCTTTGAATTATCTCATCCAACTAATAACAATACTATTCTTCTAGGGATTATATCGCCCAAAACTATCTCACGCTAAAAAAAGCAAATCCAAACTTTCCCATTCTTATTCGAGAAGCGAGTGGCGTAGAAGCGCGATTTTTTGCACGCTATGGTAAAGTAGCTAAATGGCGTAAAAAAAAAATCTGCTATTATTATTTCCTCTTTGATTATTTGATAGATGATTGATTGATCTATTTGATTGATTATTTGATGATTGACTTTAATTTTTACTTAACGATTATTTGTTTATTGCAGATTTTGGAAAAGAGAAAAAAGTGGTGTTGAATGATTTGTCAGCGAACGAAGTCGAATCGAAATTAAAAGAATTAGTCGAAACGAATGGTGATTAAAGCTAATTAAAGCCACGCACAGGAACAATTGGACTTCCTAATTGATCATTGATCCATGATTATCAATAACAAATAGTAATATGCAATCTAGAAATTCGCAATTATTTTCGTACTTTGGAGGAAATTTAAGATGTTAACAAAGAATTTAACTCAATCAATTTAATTAATTTGTTAATAATGCGCAGATCTGTAATGTTATCTAAAGTTTGAGATGAACTTACAAAACAAAAACAAACAATTTTACGATCCAGAAAAAAAAACGTGTAAATATATACTCACAAATGCGCCATTGTGCTCCAAGGTTTATTAGTAATCTTAGATTAGTTTGATCAAAGAGATTCTTTTTTTTTTGTAGGATTTCATAACGTTATTAAAAGATGATGACATTCACGTGTGGGAGGGGATTTTGTTATTTTGTCGTGTGAACAAACGATTCATATGCAACACAAAAGGAAAAAATTTTTTATGAATTGGGATTTTGACCAAGTTCTCAGGGTGACGAAAAAATTTCTTTCGATTGTTTGATTTGGGAATATATGCAATTAAATTGGGTTAATATAAAAATATGTATATTTAACATGTATTAAGTAATCAGCAATCATGAGTCTGTATTTATGACCTGTAACTGTGATCAGCGTTCCTTTCACACATTTATTCCTTTTATAACCACATTTTTCACTGAACTATATATAGTAGATATCTTTTGATTTTTGTAAACTGGCAATTTCAAATAGAATACACAACCACATTAAACTGCATATGGTTTTTTCGGAATCAACGAACAGCCAAAATAACATTTAACTAATTATCATCAAAACATTAACGATTTATTTGAATTCCTCAAATAAAAATGACTTCACCAACGAAGAGTCCCCAGAAAAACGTCACCCCACACGCATCACCAAGACCATACTCTGCCTCGCCATATCTTCACATAATTGACACGAACGAGGGAATTTTAGATCGAGATAATTACACCCTCTCTCCGAGTACAATTCTCGAGCCATCTAATTTTGACTATGATATATCACAAAATATCCATAGATGTGGCTTACCAGAGAATGAGTATGATGAAGATAGAACCGAGAATACGCCATTACTTCAAAAAAAACAAAGAATTGCTTTCTCAACACCGCCTCTAAAACGTGATATACAACAGCATAGTTCACGTCAAGAACAGTCAACGCCAAGCTCACTGTCACCGTCGCTGTCTCCTCTCGACGTACCTTCACTTAGACAGGATTATGTAGTTCAATTCGGTGATAATAGTAACGATAATGATAAGCATAACTATGAGACTGGTTCAAATAATAATGGAAATAATATCCACTTCGGAACTAGTTCAACTCGCTCAGTGAATGAGGGATCCGATTCGGACGGATGTGCTACAACTAATACATCGTCACAATCACGTCGTGGATCAAAAGCACAGGAAGACGTATGCTTCCCTAGAACTGATAAGAATGACAAATTGGGTCTCGATTATGAGGCACTAGAGGAACATGTACGAGAACAAACAGCTAAAAGAAAGAGTGAGCAACGAAAGAGACAACGTAGATTGAGTGAAGCAGCTTTTGCGTATGCTAAGAATGGTCATAGATATAGTCATACGGGGGATTCTGAGAATAAGGTTCGTTTGTGATTTTCTATAGCCATGCACTTGTGAGGTGGCTGCTTAGTCAAATCTCGATTTTCAATACATTGCATTACATCCTTTCGAAATGGTAGAGATTTACTTTGGCCGCTAAACTTTGAAACAGTGGTAAAATTCGCCTAATTTGAAGTGTTATTCAATTGGGGTTGATTTTATAATATTTTTTTTCTTATTTACAATTAGGAGATGTATGACTCTGGTTATCGATACACCTTCTATTCGACCGCTTACAATACAGTACATGCTCGTTCCTTATCCGAAATTCCTCCTTCCGGTACTTCATTGTCCGACATGCTAAAGTCCGGTTGTTGGTGGATTGACGTTTTAGCACCAAGTGATGTCGAAATGAGAAGCTTGGGCACGGTTAGAATTTATTAATTTTAACGTGTCCACGATGATTCAAATCCAATCCATTACCTTTTTTTTTTAATTATAGATATTTGGAATCCATCCGCTCACAGTTGAGGATATAGAAACAGAAGATACTCGAGAGAAATGTGAACTATTTAAGAGCTATTACTTTATTTGCTTCCGATCTTTTGATCAAGATCATTATTCTCCTACTTATCTGCAACCGATTAGCATATATATAGTGGTAATGAAAGAAGGCATTTTGTCGGTATGTATGTTATAATTTATCGTTTATTCATTGAGAATTCTAATGCGTCGTACTCGTGTAGTTTCATTACCGACCAAGTCCACATCCAGCAAATGTTAGGCGACGCATTAGACAATTAAAAGATTATATTACTGTTACGCCTGGTAATTAAACATTTTTTCATATACAGAAAATCTGGCTGCAACTATTGTAAATTTCAAAAATTTTTCTCCTCGCACATATATAGATTGGATCAGTTACGCGCTAATTGATGATATAACAGATTTGTTCGCTCCGATAATTCGATCGATCGAATTTGAAGTGGATTCAATCGATGAGTTAGTTCTGATTCTTAAAGAATCCGAACAGAGCGATATGTTACGAAGAATCGGACATTGTCGGAAAAAAGTGATGGGTTTGTTGCGCTTACTTGGCAATAAGGCCGATGTAATGAAAGGTTTAATTAAAAGATGTAGCGAGTTGCGATGGGATGTGGTCATCAGCAATGAAATAGTATTATATCTTGGAGATATTCAAGGTAAAACATCTGTTTATTTCGTTTCATTTCTTTTTGTTTTATAGTAAATTAGCATTCATGTTTTTTGTGTCAAATCAAAACAGATCACATTATTACCATGGTTCAAAACTTGAATCATTATGAGAAAATACTTTCACGATCTCATTCAAACTACCTCGCACAGATCTCTATTGAGATGACACAGGCAAATAATCAAATCAACGATATATTATCACGATTAACTGCGCTTGGTACGATACTAATACCAATGAATTTAGTGACAGGTGAGTTTTTTTTTCCGTGATTAATTAATTAAAGCTATTTATCTGTCATCTATTTATTCGATTGTTGTTATTATAGGATTATGGGGGATGAATGTTGAAGTACCCGGACAACCGGATGGAGTTGGAGATTTGGGGTGGTTCTTTTCCATATTGACAGGGATCATAATTTTTGCTGTGATAGGAGTTTTGTTAGCGCATCGGACCGGAATTGTATAATGTAGTGTTGAGTTTCAAAAAATTTATTGTAATACATGAATTTTGAAAGAGAAAATGTGTGTAGTGTCAAGTCAACCGCCGATGTTTAAAGACCCTGACAAAATTGATTAGTAAAAAGAAGGAAGCTAATTTGTTGGTAAACACAGTGGGAGGGTAATTTACTAAGAGCCTTTTAAACGGCACCATATACCACATCTTAATTTGTTTTTTGCCGAAGGTGTTTTTCATGTTATTTAGACTAAAGTATTATATTAATTTAATTTAATTTAACTCAAAGTCATCTACAAATTCAACTTTTTTTAATAAAACAAGGGTTTGTTCATGTGATTTCGTGAATTGAAATACATAGAAAAAAGTATTTTAATGTATCGATATTTCTACAAGGATTCGCCCAAGTTAAACATACATTTCTCAGTTCAGTCTAATTTCAAGGGGAATTAGTCAACCATCAACTGTTTTTTATAAAAAACTATCTACTATGTAGTCAGGAATTTTTCGCCTATAACCACAAGAACAAAATATCAACAAGTTTTAAAACCAGAAAAAATTAATGTTAAAAAATAAAAATATTATACTTTACAAATTTGCGCATTCTTATTGGTTGATTATCATGTGATCAGAAACCGTATAATAATTACGCGTAATAGACGAAAATTAATGATTATCTAATCAGGAGATTTATAATATAAATATAACCTTACCTAAAAGAATTAATAATGTTTTTCTAAAAATATCAAAAAAAAAATACAAAATGTCATCTATACAAACTCTCGAGGAACGACCAGAACAAACTGCCGATTCCATCACCACAAACACCCCTAACGAAACAACAATGCCACAGGATCCAATTATCGCGGTTTTCCAAACGCCAGAACTCGTCACACGTATCTTATCTTTTCTCCCCTTGAGAAAACAGTACGAGTTGAGAGGCGTATCCAAACATTTCTATCGAGCGTTGAACTTTGCAGAATTCATTGGTTCGCTCCTTCGCCGTGGTGTTGACTCAAATTGTCATTATGTGTTGACCGAATCTAATTATTATAATGGTAAATACGAGGATGAAGTACGTGTACGAGGGATCTTTAGTAATCAACGTACCGCACGTAACACTCTTATTCGTCTACACAAGAAATGCTTGGAAGATGGCCATGGAAGAAATGGAGAGTATGAGACGATGAATAAACGTATTGTCGAGTTTGATGTGTATGATGGTTTTACAAGTGTCTTTGAAATTGCGAGAATAAATTATATTACTAGCGTTGAAACTCATATTGAACCCGAATACAGCGGAAGAGTGAGCGAATATGTTGATACCGATGAGTTTGAGTTTGAAGATGATTTTGATCATGTCGGAATTCAACTTTCAGCTTGGGGAATTTAATCACTATTCATTACAGTGTTAAACTAATTCATTAAAAATTTATTGAAATGTAGCCCGGCCAACTAAATTTTTGTTTAAATAGAGAGCGCAATATTTGAATTTAATAATGCATGGGATTAATTGGTATATCCAAAAGAAGAATTAACGAGCCAAAAATGTCCCTTTATAGGGTGTTCATGAACAACCGCAATATGCCAACGACTCAACAACACTTCAAAACCGACACAGTGAAGTTCTCAAGCTGATCGCGCGTTCATTAAGACGTGTATCATGTGCATTGCTTTGCTTCATCAATCGGCAGTGTTGTGCTTCAAAAATTTTGTTGTATTTTACATGAATTTTGAAAGAGACAACGTGTAATGTCAAGTCAACCGCTACCGTGTGCCGATGTTCAAAAGGTCCTGACAAAGTTGATTAATAAAAAGAAAGAAGCTATGTTGGTAAACAAAGTGGAAGGATACTTTACAAAGAGCCTTTTTTAAAAGGTTATCATATACCACATCCTTATTTGTTTTTTGTAGGTGTTTTCATGTTCGAGTTGTTTTGAATTGGCCAGCCATTAATAAAAAAACGATTCTCGTTAATTTAGTTTTGATTAGAAAATATATGCTATTTAGACTATACGTATTAATTCAAAGCCATTTACAAATTCAACTTTTTGGTTTGCTCTTTTATACGCGTCCTTCTTTCAATATGAATATCAACGGTGAAGTTATTGGTTTTCGGTCTCGTTTTCTCTGGTTTTTTTATGAGATTTTTTGTGTCTAACATCGTAAAACTTGAAAGGAAATAATATATTATTCTCTTCGACCAACTTATTTTTATTACTCTGAGTAGAATTAAAGCATTAATCCCCTGTCGCATGACTACCTTCATTATTTCTCAATGATATTTATCATCAAGTTATAAGCATGACTATTTTACTTACAATTTCTATTATCAAATAGTAATTACAATTATTACTACAATTCGATTTTTTTTCTAGATATATTAATTTGCCATATTTAGATCAAATACAAAGGCAACCGAAGTGGTCGGTGCTATTAGTAAAAAATTTTAAAAATTCGGTTTATCCGAGGTTTCATTAGTAAATTCGGTTTAACGGGGTAGATTTACTATAACTGCCATCTTCGGTTATAATTAGTGTTTCGGTTAAACGGGGTTGCCTTATCTAATGAATTTTTTAGATTCTGATTTTAAAATAATATAAAATAAATTCTAAATACAGTCAGATCTCTCTATAGTCACACCTCTTTAATCAAAATATAATTATATTTCCTAATGTATAATAATAATCACAATATAATTCATAATCTTATATTTCAGATTTCATATTCTCATCTGTATGTAATCCAGTTTTTCTAGAAGAATTCTATCAGACTTTGGCCATAGCTCCATCTCTCAGAGTATCAGAATCAGATCTTAATCAAAAAAAGTGATTCAATTATTCATATCACTCTTATATTTTTTCAATTTCTGTATCAATCAAGTTAATATATTCTCTAAATAAAAACATACTTTTATTATTCTTATTTTCAAATCATATGACTAAGAAGATAATCTAGATCTTATTCAATCTATCTTACTCATAAATAATATCAGAAAATTATTTTTACACATTCTTACAAATTGAATTTTTATACTTTACAAATATTTTAACATTCTTTAAGATTTTATTATTCCAATTTACATTCTTAATTATTTACTTGAAAATATCTATATTTATAAAAAAAACTCTAATATATCTTTTAAAATATAAAATATATCTATAATTCAGTAGCTAAATTATATTATTAAAGTCTCTTAAATCAAAATATATTTTCACTATATATAACTCATATCTCAATCAAGTTATTATTATTTATGATAATACTAATCAGTATTTTGTATTAAATGATTTGGATCAAGATATGTATTTGTCTTATAATATATCTTCTATAATTCTTTTTTCTGTTATATTAATATATATTACATATAAATAATTATATTATATCTTCTTTCTGAATAATTTCACTTCATTTTTATATAGAATTTATTATTACTAAAATTATTAATTATAGTATATATATTAATAATACTATCTGAATTATATACTTATCAAATAATATATAATATATATTTAATTTTGCTAATTAAAGTACTTTATATAAATTTAAATTCTATTTTAGCATAATTTTTATTTTATTTGAAATATAAAAATATTTTATTATAATTTTTTACTTTATAAAAAGCATAAAATATTTGAATCTTTAAATTAATAATAATAATAAATTTCAAAAATAATAATAGATCATCAAGTAAAATCTTATTAATACTATCTTTACTCTTGAATAAAAAAATTCAATCACTAATAAATGATTTATCTTCTTAATAATATTCTTTTTTCAGCTATTAAATATAAATTTTAGTTCATTATACTTTTCAAAATATTTTATTTTTTTATTTTATATTATTGTAAAAAATTATTTAAAGCTAAAATTAATATATTACAAGATATATCTAATATATTTTTCTATTATAAAAATTATTTTAATCTTGTCAATCTCTAAAAATTTCAATCATATTATAAAATTAGTAAGCTTATATATTATATTAATAAAATAAATCTTTTTAATCAAATTACATAAATCTAATTATAAAATTTACAAGAATTCAGATAGCTATCATATTTAATTTTATCTTTCTTCACACTTAAATATTTTTCTTTTAGAAAAAATCTTATTATAAAATATTCTTTTTCTAATGATAAAAATATAAATTACTTTATAAAATTAGAAAAAATTTAAATATAATTTTCTAAAACTGATATTATTTTTTATAATATTATTATATTATAATTTATATATGTCAAATATTATTTTATTCTTAGAAAGAGCAAAGTTATATCTCTCAAGTAACTTATAAAATATAATAAATCTCAATTAATAATCTGAAAATAATATAAAAAATACTTCTATTAAATAGTATATAAAATAAAAATATATTAGTTCACTTTATTAAAATACTTAGTTTTATAAGATCTAACATTTTATTATATATTTAAATTATTATTATATTAGTTATAATATTAAATACTTATATATTTATTCTTTTTTATTTTTATAAATCTAATATATTAGTTTTTTTCTGATATTAGATTATTAACTTACTTAATTATTTTTTATTTCTTCTTATTATATTTATGAATAGATTAATTCAAGATTTATTAATAATATAAGTTAAAGTAAATATAATCTGAATAATATATTTATTATTTATCTTCACATCTTTTTTTATATCAGAATTATTCTTTATTATTAAAACTGAAATTTTTATAATATATATATTAACAGAATATACTTTCTTTAACTATTACATAAATATTCTTATAGATAATTAAGAAATTATATAAGAATTTACAAAAAATATTACAAACAAATACAGATATTTATAATATAAACTTTATTAATAATTATATTAATAAATATAAAAAATTTTAATATATAATATTAAAATAAAAGACTTATATATAATAAAATTTATCAAGATCAAAAGTCACTCTAATAATTTAGATAATAATTTAATAGATAGATTTATAAAAAATAAATACTCATAATTATTTATCACAACTAGTAATGAGAACTGCAACTAGTCATAACTCTGTTACAACTTTCTAATTGACTATCACAAGCCACAACTAGTTGAGAAGCCATCTTTAATCATAATAAATTATAATACTTATTAATTATTAAATATTATCTTATTTTTAATAATATCTTTCTAATTAATTCTAATTTTCAGTACTTTATTAAATATTTTTATATTAGTTATAATATTCTTATATAATAATATATGATATATATCAAGTATCTTCTTTCTCTTACTATAGCTAGCCTTTTGAATTAAAATATCTTATATCATATTTAAAAGTTTATAAATAAAAAAATCTTAATTATATCTTTAATTAATTTTTCATAATCAAAATTATTAAATCTTCTTTACTTATTCAAAATCTTCTATCATAATATAAATCTAACTTATATTCTAATAACTTATATTTTTATTATTAATTATATCCTAAAATTATTATCTATATATGAGAATACTTTTACTTTTTTAAGTTTTTATACTTTATCCTGATCTTAATATCATATAAACTTGCTTTTCTTATTTATTTTTATCTTTTACTAGAATTAAAAATAATATTATAATTTGATTGTAATTCTTTAATTAGTTATCATAAGTCATAATTAATTAAGATAATATCTTTAATTAGAATTATATCCTATCTTTTTATTATTTTTATCTAATTATAAATAATTTATAAATAATTAATTATCTTAATTATTATTTAATAATCTGTCTAATTTCTTAATAATTTTAATCAAGTATCTTTTTAGTAACTTTACTTTATGTATATTCATTTTTTATCTTTATATTTATCTATATAACTAATTATCTATTTATATAGCATAATAGATATGATATAGTATATAATGCAACTATAGTACATGATACAATAATTATTAAATTAGACAAATAAATAATTTATATTAATTAATCTTATTTATAATCAATTCTATTTTTAGTTTATATTATTATCCATATTTAGTCTTATTTAAAGATAGTAGTTGCAATTACTATATTACAACACTTATATTGCAACTATATATTGCAACTTATTAAAAAATTTAATAAAAATTGTAACTTGCTGCAACTTATCGCAAGTTACAACTTGCTATAACTTGCCATAACTTGCTGCAACTTGTCACAACTTGCTGTAACTTGCTGTAACTTATTGCAACTTGCTATAACTTGCCACAACTTGCCACAACTTGCTGCAACTTGTTGCAACTTGTTGCAACTTGCTACAACTTGCTGCAACTTATTGTAACTTATCATAACTTATTATAACTTATCATAACTTATTATAACTTACTATA